AAAATCTGAACTAAAAATTACCTATCAAGACAACTTCAAGTGATACAGGAAATCAACGAAAATACTAAGATATGCAAGAAGTCAGAAAATGCCAACCATGTATGCCTCCCTAAAAATTGCATAAAAGGCAGACAATAGAAAAATGAAAAAGAGACAGAAAGGTGACAAGAGGAAAGAGAATGAACGGTGGAATAACTCACTATAAAGTTAACTGGTATTTACTTATGACATTTAAATTCTGCAATAATATACTAAAACAAATAGTTAAGTATCCAACAATGAATGGAATCCAAATCCTTGTTTCAGAAAAATTACTGAAAATAGAGGACAAGAGAAGGAAAAACCATATACACTTTGATTTTCCAGTTTATAAGTATAGAAATAAAATAAGGAGTATTTTTCAAAACAAAAGTCATCTACTGAACATCATGTAAATTAATAAGAAAATATAGAATTTAGAGTAAGGGGAAAACACAGAAAAAAGTAAGAGATTTTTTTAAGGAATACTATATAAACTCAATCAGACATTTATAATAAATAGGTTAAATTCACCTATTTAAAACAACACCATTCCTTTTCTAAAAAATGAAAACTTGTATTATCTACAAAACAAGGGTCCTAGAATAATTAAAACACAAATTAGTTATATAAATAGAAAATAAAAAATATAGAAAGAGAAAAGCTAACAGAAATTTTTTAATATCATTAAAATTAAGTTCCAGGCAAAAGAAGTTACTAAGATAAAGCTATAAGCCACAGTGTAGTCCTGGTGTGGTGCTATGGGCTAATGCATCAGACTGCAAAGTTGTTTGAGATACAAGGTCGGTGGTTAAAGCTCACCAGTCACTCCTTGGAAACCCTATACAGGGTCGCTATGGGTTAAAACTGACTCAATGGCACTTAACAACAACAACATAAGCCACAGTGAAGGGATTCAACAGGTATACACTAAATAACATCATCATATTAAAACTCAAATACACAAATTGTAATAGATACACAAAAGCTCATTTCTGGACAGTTTCAATAGGTAAAAATAATAATTATCTAAATACCTACAATTTTTTAAGAATGAACATATTCGCTTTTAAGAGCATAAAGCCAGCATAAAAACTGACCAGATGGACACATTATTAAAAACCTTAACGAATCTCAAAAATCTGAATTAGTACAAGACTTACTTTAACCTCTCCATAATAAAATATCACAGGCCATGCGTCAAAGAAAAATTAATTAAAATAAAAAACCAACACAAAATACCCACTTAAAAATTAAGAAATGAAAGAAACTTTAGAGTAAAATACTGATAGCATAAGCTGTCAAGATTTAACGGAAGCACGTGAAGCCACAATCAAAGGGGAGTATGTATTCTTAATATTTCTATGCATACCTCTTTGGATACATGAGCCAAGTGTTGTTGTTTTTTTTCTAATTTAGGTATTAAAATGAGTACAGGGTATATGCAAATATATAAATTTAATAAATACTACTGAATTACCCAGAGTGACAGGTACCAATTTGCCTTCCCACAAAGAATTTACGAGAGTATCCATCTCCCCAAGTGTTTATGTTAAATATGACCTCTTTCTACCTTGGGCAGTGTAAAAAACATTTCAACTAAATGAGTCATTTAAAAATATTTATATTACACACCAGCTGATAGTAGCTTGTGTAAGAGGGAAGATGTGAAGATAAGATGAAACTGCTGACGAATGACAGCAGCAAGACTGGAAAACTGAAATGCTGGCTCCAGAAACATAGGTCAGGGCCTAACTCACTTCACAGAAGGCTAAGAACAGTCATCACCTGGCACAATCACACTGGACTCTGAAATGGTGATCTCAGTAAGAGGCACTAAGTTTCTTTACCTGTTCACCAAATCTCTATGGTACAAAAAGAAAAAATAAAAAATAAAATACTACTGAAGGAACGAGAAAGCACACACTTGAGTTAAATGATGTGCTGAAAAGCAATAGCCTGTTGACCAGAAAGAGCAATGCATGTGGTATTAACGCTAAACAGAAGTCCTGGTATGCTGCTGTGGGTTCATGTGCTAGACTGCAAAGTCGGTTTGAACCGCAAGGTCGATGGTTCAAACTCACCAGCTGCTACCCGGAAACCCTATACAGGGTTACTATGGGTCAGATCTTACTAGAGGGCACTAACAACAACTTAACAACAACAAACACTAAACATCCTGGGATATAATAGTGAGAGCTTTAAATTATTAAAGAAGTGCAAGGACTTTTAGAATACAATAAGGAGTCTTAATCAAATCAATTTGATATGATAAAATCCCAAGGTCTTTTAGAAAGGAAAAAAATATATAGTATTTTTTTCTGATGCCTTGTTCTCTCCTCTTTATGTCCCTGCCTCTCGCTTACATCTATACATACCTACTTTAAATGTATACAAAATTTAGCAGCCTATAAAAATGCTACATTAAAAAAATGTACAACATTTTGTATTATCAATATTCACAAACTGCAATCAAAATATCTGATTCTTTAACTTCAACTTAATAAAAGATCATCGTGGATTAGATGGAACTCACGTTCTAGAAAGAAAAGAGGGAGGAAGGGTAAAACGGAAACTACACGTGTTGAGACAAATATTATGTGCTTTGCATATCCTCTTTGCTGTTAGTTGCTGTCAAGTCAGTTCCAGCTCACAACATTACTATGTACTACAGAACGAAACCCAGCCAATCCGGCACCACTTGCACTGCTGTTGCTGTATTTGAGCGCATTGTTCTGCCAGTGTGTCAATCCGTCTTGTTAAGGGTTTTCTATTTGCTGACTTTCTACTTTACCAAGCCTGGTGTCCTTCTCCAGGGACTGGTCCCTCCTGATAACATGTCCAAAGTACATGAGACGATGTCTCATCATCCTTGCTTCTAGGGAGCCTTCTAGCTGTACTCCTTCTAAGATTTATAAAATCATCCTATGAGGTATGATTACATGAGAAGAAGTTGAGGCTGAGAAAGGTTGATGTGACTAAGACTCCTTATGAGGCAATCAGAGGAACAGGAATGTGAGCTCAGACCTACGGACTCCAAACCCTATCTCCTCATTGTACCATTCTTTCTGCTGAAGCTGATAGAGTCCAGTTTGTAAAATAATCTGAAAACAGACGACACTCCTACCATATTACTGATACTGCACTGAACAGAAAAAGTTAACAACCCATATGACAGCTGTTCAGCAGTGTCTGGGATTGAATTTTGTTTTAAAAGTTTCTGGAATAGGAGGTCAAGGCAAAATAAGGAGGAGGAGGAGAATAAGAGAAAAGAAGGAAGAGTAGAAAGAGGGTGATCAAGAGAACAGCACAGCATTCAGGAAACTTATTACAAGCACATCTGGTATGATGGATATCATTAAACCCCAAAGAATCAAGGGAGGAAAAACAGCAGGTCTTACCATTGGTCATCTTGATTTGAAATTGGATGCCTATAGTAATAGTCAGTCATCTTAAGCATTGAAAACCATCCTAAGCAATGAAAATTCTCATAAACAGAGGCCGGTTCACTAAAATCACTTGTTCATCGTTCCAGCTGGTTCCTGAACTCAATGGCACCTACCTCACAAAAAGCACTATTATCCAATTGCACACCAAATGATAGTCATTGTTGTTGTTTTGTTGTTGTTAAATGGCATCGTGTTGGTTCCAACTCATAGCAACCCTAGAGTTTCTGAGGCTTTAAATCTTTAAATATTTGTGGCAGCCAAACGCCTCATCTTTCTCCCATGAAGTAATTTAGAGGGAGATGTATGATACCTAGGCCAAACACACTTTCAAAAACTCAGTTTATGAACATCAGACTTCCAGACAGTGAGTAACCCTTTACTGTTATAAATTTACTCTCACTTTAAATCAGACCGTGACGTTGTTGTTGTTAAGTGCCATTGAGTTGGTTCTGACTCTGAGCAATCCTGTATAAGGTTTTTGAGGAGCAGTTGATGGGGTTGAACTGTCGACCTTCTGGTTAACAGTCCAGTGTTTATCCTACAGCAACACTACACCAGAACTAGCCATTTAATGTTAAGTAAATTTGTTTTCACTTTGAATCAGACTGTTTTACATACGGTTTTGTTCAACATGACTGGGCTAGTATTTTCAGTGATTTGGCAATTAAGATGTAGTAATCTCCATGGTGTTCTGGCGTTTAGACTGCAAAGGCATTTGAACTGCAAGTTCAGTGGTTCAAGCTCACCAGCTGCTCCCTGGAAACCCTATACAGGGTCACTATGGATGAGAGTCGACTCAACTGCACTGAACAACAACTATTCCCCATGATAAGTGTGAGTAAACTGCTGTGAGTAAACAATTAGCAAAAAGGACTTTTCCTCACAGTTGTGGTCTGCTTCCAATATAATGGACCCTCGGGCAAAGCTTAGTAGCTTTTTGCTGGGTCTGGACATTGCATGTGGCTTGCCATCTGATCTTCAGTTATTTGGATTAGAGCTAGTGTCCTGCTGAACTGCCTGCCAATCCTAGGAGTCACCAGTAACCTGCCATCTTACCTGCCGACCTTGGATTCATTTGCCTCTGCAGCCAGAAACCTGTCATCCAACCAGCCAATCTTGGGTTCATCAGCAACAGGAGTCAAGAGAAGCCTATGTCTGACCCACAGACTTGAAACGTACCTACCTCTACAACTGTGTGAGCCACTTCCTTGACATAAACACACATGCATGCATGTGTGTATACGTTTCACTGGTTTTGCTTCTCCTGAGAACCCAGGCTAAGATACAGACCAAGCCCTACTGAAAACAAATTCTTTATCACAACCGCCTTCACATGCTGTACCTGTAGCTTTTAAATCATAGAAAGCTTTCACTGAGATACTGCTAAATAAGAAACATATGTACTTGTCCCAATTTACCTGCAAATTCAACTGAAAGACAAATTTAGAAATAGATCTCATTCATAATCTGGGGACTATCTGTATTTAAGAAAACTATCATTAACCCAAACCTTTACTAGTTTGAGATGCTTACCTCAGGCTGTGAAATTACAGGAGTAGAAGTAGGGCCAGCCTCCATGGTTATAGTTGTGGGAGATGAACTAGCCCCCAGCACTATGGCACTGGACATAGGACTCAAATTCTTGTGGATGCTGATGAGAGAGCCGTCATGCCAGGAAAAACTGTTTGCCTGGACAAAGGAAGGGAAATTCAGATTTAGCCAAAGTAGGTTAGTTCATTAACCAGAAGAAGCAAAATCCCTTTGACCAAAAGCCAACTTCCAACTTAACAAAAAAGATAACCATGGTAGGTAACTTATCAAATCTAAAGCCATAACTTCTGTACCAATTTGTCCAAATGGTACTAAGCTGATGTATTTTCCTGTTTGAAGACATTGGGCAAGTCACATAACATCCAAAGAACTGAAATGACTTCTCTGAATTTTAAATTTTGATTTCTATTCTGCCTTTGTATATTACCTTTCATACTGTGGTTTTATTTACTTTAAATTGTTTAGAGCTGTGGTGTCTTCCATTTTCTTCCCTTTTGTCAGAGCATTTTTTTTTTTTTTTAAATAAGTAGTAAAGCTGTCAAGCTATCTTGAAATTAGAGTACACAAAGAATCTTAGAAACCTTAGAAGACACTAATGTTCTCTCCTTAGTCCCAGTTTCAGAGGGAAAAGTCATCACACTATAAGTGTAATGAAGAGCCCAGGAGAAAGGCATGAGTATACGGGCGTTCTTCCTTTTTCATGATGGCGGCTGGAATGCTAAGCCTACCCACAGAAAATTCTAGGCCCTCTGGTATGCCATTTTGTACTGAACTTTACAAAGATATCATTTTGTGCCACTCTCTTTTGTTTTCCTTTTGCCATCTCATGTATTTGTTACTTCCTTTTACCCTATTTTATGTGTTGTTGGTGTGGTCAAGTGTTGTCATGTCTGTTCTGACTCACAGCAGAACCCTATATAGGGTTTCTGAGGCTTTAAATCTTGACAGGCGCAGAAAGCCTCATCTATTACATGAAGTGGACAGAAATAGTATGATAACAAAAACAAGAGGATAAGTGAAAATCTGTTGTTAAAAACTCATTCAGCATGCATGTATTCAGTATCATTTCGGCACAACTAAACAATTAAGCAACATAATCTATAAACAGTTTTGTCACCTAGAGGATGAACACCTAATAAGGTGTTCCTGAGTGGTGCACATGGTTAAGTGTTCAACTACTAGCCAAATGGTTGGTGGTTCAAACCCACCTTGGGTGACTCATGACAGGCCTACTGATCTGCTTCCAAAGGTCACAGCCTTGAAAACTCTAAGGAATACTTCTACTCTGCACACATGGGGTCGATGTTACTTGGAATAATCAGACAGCAACGAGTAACAACAGTCTATAGTAAGGAGAGTTTAGATACACATGGGTGTGAACCAGGAAACAGATGCAGCATATGGCATTCTCACTAACAGAACAGGGAATGCAGAAAAACTGGGTTTAACAAAAACCTACTAGGTGTTGGGTATTGGAACAGTCATTTCTAATACAGATATGGCTAACTGATTTCACAGATGAAAACTCAAGCGAGCTGAGAGTAGAAACCAGTTTCAATTCCAGAGCCCAAACTTTTTCCATAGACTAATCTTCTAGGTGAACAAAACTCAAAAAGAGGTGTAAAGTTCTTAGCGTCTTTATAAGCATAAATTTCAGATGGTCCAGAAGAAAGCAGGATAAAAGGCATACGTCATTCAAGATAACTATGTTCCTGAAACAGAGAGCCTTGTATTGCTCTCATGGTTCTAAAACTTTATAATGTGTCCCCAGTTTTGATTTATGGGACATATCCTTGAGATATACAATGGACACTAGGTTGTTAGTTTCTTCATTTAAAGAAAGTAAGACTGAAAATTAACTGTCTTCCCCTAAAGCACTCTAAATACATCTACTTTTGAGCCTTTCGTTGAGTCTGTTCCCAACTAAGTGCTGTCAAGTCGGTTCTTACTCATAGTGACCCTGCACAGGGTTTTTGGGGAGTAACTGGAGAGTTTGCACCACCAACCTTGTGGTTCAAACCAACCTGTGGTTGTGGTACTTATCCTCAGTGCCACACCAGGACTCCGTTCCCATTTTACAAGACCTTTTATAAAATAGTGTCATTTTACTTTATCAGCACATGCAAGCTCTAAACAATACTATCACAGAGCTCTCTCTGGCTAAGGGTATCTTAAAATTACATTTATGAAACTTCACTCACTTTACAACTTATTTATAAAACGGCTCAAATCATGGAGCAACTGGGATGTATGATAAAGTGGACCTATTGCTGTTGTTAAGTGCTGGCGAGTCAGTTCCAACTCACAGTGACTCTGTATAAGGTATCCAAGGAGCAGCTGGTAGGTTTCAACTGCCAACCTTGTGGTTCCCAGTCCAGTGTTTATCCTATAGTGCCACACCAGGAATCCAAGTGGACCATACCCTTATGTAATAATATCATTCAAACTCTGCCAGAGTAACCTGCTTCCCTATGACATCATAGTCTACTGCCATCTCAGAATCCCAGACTACATACTACAGAATTCCACAGGAAGTTTTGAAGAATTATGAGCTTCCTTGCATTCTTCCAAGTACATGGATATCTGTCCTGTGCAACTCTTCTGACCTGCCACCAATCTGCTATCAATTTAACTCTTCTTTTCCTTTGTTTCAGCTACAGAAAACCATAAAGCAATCTGAGTTGGTTCTGTTAACACCAGGCTCTCCAACTGCCTTTGGACCATTGCCGCTCCTTCCCTTCTTCTTCCCTTGTTGTTGTTAGGTGCTACAGAGTCAGCACCAACTCATAGTGACCCTATGCACAACAGAACAAAACACTGCCCAATCCTGGGCCAACCTCACAATTGTTGCCACGCTTGAGGCCACTGATGCTGTCACTCTGCCAATCTATCTCACTGGGGGTTTTCTTTTTCTCTTTTTCACCTTACCAAACATGATCGCCTTCTCCAGGTCCCTCCTGACAATATGTCTGAAGTATGAGAGACAAAGTTTGGTCATCCTGGCCTCCAGGGAGAACTCTGGCTGCACTTCTTCCAAATGGATCTATTGGTTCTTTTGGAAGCCCATGGCACTTTCAATATTCTCCTCCAACACCATTACTCAAAAGCATCAATTCTTCTACAGTCTTCCTTATTCACTGTCCAGCTTTTGCATGCATATGAGGTTACTGAAAATACCATGGCTTGGGTCAGGTGCACCTGAGTCCTTAAGCTGACATCTTTGCTCTTCAACACTTTTAAAAAGGTCTTGTGCAACACATTTGCCTAATGTAATACATCGTTTGATTTCTTGACTGCTGCTTCCATGAGTATTGATAGTTGATCCAAAAAGAATGAAGTCCTTCAATCTTTTCTCCATTGATAAGAATGTTGTTTATTGGTCCTGTGGTGAGGATTTTTTGTTTTCTTTACATTGAGATGCAATCCATACCAAAGCCTGTGCTCTTTGATCTTCATCAGTAAATGTTTTAAGTCCTCTTCACTTTCAGCAAGGTTGTATCATCTGCATATCATAGGTTGTTAATGAGTTTTCCTAGAATCCTGATGCCACGTTTTTCTTCATGGAACCCAGCTTCTCAGATTATTTGCTCAGCATACAGGTTGAATAAGTATAGTGAATAAAATATAATTCTGTCACACACCTTTCTTAATTTTAAACCATTCAGTGTTCCCATGTTCTGTTCAAACAACTGCCTCTTGGTCCATGTACAGATTCCTCATGAGCACAATTAAGTGTTCCAGAATGCTCATACTTCACAATGTTGTCCATAGCTTCTCATGATCCACACAGTTGAAATCCTTTGTATAGCCAGTAAAGCACAGGTAAACATCTTTCTGGAATTCTCTGCTTTTAGCCAAGATCCATCTGATTTCAGCAATGATATCCCTCATTCCACAGCCTCTTCTGAATCCAGCTTGAACCTCTGGAAGTTCTCTGTCAATGTATGCTTGCAGCTGTTTCTGTATTACCTTTAGTAAAACTTTACTCACGTGGGATATCAAAGATACTGTTTGATGATTTCCTCATTCCATTGGGTCACCTCTCTGGAATGGGCACAAATATGGATCTCTTCTTCCCTAGCTGACTGCATTTTCCATTCTCCTAGGCAACTCTTCTAACCTATGTTGTTGTTGTTGTTGTTGTTGTTAAAGTGCTGTAGAGCTGATTTGCAATTCATACCAACCCCATGTGGCAGAATAGAACTGGCCCAAAAGGTTTTCTCAACTGTAATCTTCAAGGAAGCACATTCCCAGGTCTTTCTTCCTCAAAGTCACTGGCTGGATTCAAATCACCAGCTTTTGGCTAGAAGCCATGCATTTAATGGTTGGGCCACTACAACTCCTCTAACCTATTTTTTTCTTCTCAAAACAGAACTACCTCTAACTCCCCTCACTTTAAAAAAAAATGAGCTTTACCATTTATTTTTTATCTATTCATTCATTCATTGCCTTAAAGGTCATTGAGAATGACTTTACTCAATGCCCCTCCTTCTTACCAAGACCCAGGTGATAGAGTGGGGTATGCGTTGGGCTATTAACCACAAGGTCAGCAGTTTGAATCCACCAACCACTCCATAGGAGAATGATGAGGCTTCCTGCTCCAGTAAGAATTTACAGTCTCAGAAACCCTATACAGGGTCACTATGTCAGAACTGACTCAACAGTACACAGAAACAGCACAGTTCACAACATATATAAAATACAATTTCCAAATAAAAAAGCCAGGGTAGGCTCATTTCTCTGTATCAGATTATCATAGAAATAACCAGTCACTATAAAAATGGAAAATATCATGCATCCTTCCTAGAAACTACAGATGGATCCCAGCTATTGCTCAAAAGTTCCAGAAAGATACGGTAAAAAGAACCAACATGAGAGACTGGGAGAAGGACTAAGACTGCGGTTGTGTGGAACTGCAACTACATAGAAAGGAAACAAACAGGACTCCAATGGGCCCATAACAGCACCTTTAGTTCTAAGAGCTGAGGTAGCAGTCAGCCTGTACTTTTAGAATACACCAACTCTCT